GTATAGTAGGTATAGTAGTCTGTTATGTACATAAACAATGTATATAATATGTATCTAAGAGCACAGTGAATATTAACACGGAATAAACGTAAACAAATCTATTGTATTAACTTTTGAAATAATATAAACATTTCTAAGAGTAAAACATGTTAAATGATAAAATGCCTATCTAGTACACAACTTACAAATAAAGGAGAGTATACCTAGGTCAGTAGTAAGTAGTAGCAGTAGTAGTAGTATTTTGTTCATTAGTTGTAAATACCCAACAGATAGTTAACTGTGACTTACACTACCTATTTCGTAGGAGTGGATATACAGTTTATCATTTTAACAAAATGAATAAAAATAAACTGTAATTTAATACAGAATTTTAACTTCTAACAATAAAAAGAAGAATATAGTAGTAAATATGTTACACTGTAGTACAAACAAAGTTAGTTGTATAAATTGCTAACAATAAGACAATAAGTGAAATGATAAAATACTTATCCAGTATACAATTCACAAAGAGTTGTGTACAGAAACAATGCATATAATATGTATCTAAGAGCACAGTGAATAATTAAGCATGTAACAAAATTCAACCGTAGGTTAGACACTACTTATTGTCATTGGATGTGAAATGATATCATTGGCACTTAAACACTTTTTAAACACTACTCTTTGATAATTACATACTATGGAATAAAAGTAACGAATTAAATTAAATTAGCACTGCAGACATTTTTGTCGAATGATAATTAAAAAGTGGGCTGCACTATCTAAAAAAAACGCTATATTAAGTAATTCCCATATTGTTAAATGTGTTGTATATCATTGTAATATCATGACTTTTGTTATTTTATTATGTCATTCATTTGATATCGTGTATTAAACAGTAGGTACCTCTTGTGAGCTTATAATATGTATTATGTTGCAACAAAAACGTTGAATGTCATAGAGTTGAGTTATTAAATTAAGTTAGGTTGCTAACACACACGGTAGGTACATTAAACTCACGAGAGTACACAAAAGTATTAGTGACAAAGTGTAACCGTCACGATTTACTGCAATGAAATGATATTTATTGAGCATATTATGATTTCTACACTCACCAAAGACGGCACTGCTCCGTGCCGCAGACGTCGGCGTTGTGCATTTCCTGCAGCGTAGTCAACACCGCGGACGAAATGCCTCGAACACAGCTTCGATGCGTTGGTCACAGGAAAACCGCGGTCCACCACAAATGCCGTCCACTCGACTCGATAAACGTCGATTGTTGGAAATCTAAAGGTGACATAATATTAATGATTTTATTACATTGCTATGCATCAACGTGATGTGTAAAATAATTGTAAATACCCGTGTACTGAAACGCCATCGATGTTGTCCACTATTCCGCATATAACGCAGCGTTTGACCATTTTGAATAGTCTATATTATAAGTAAAAAGTAAAAAGTAAATACTAAATAATATGAAAACATATTACATTATGTGTTATTTTTAGAAATAATAGATAACCACCGGCTTAATGTACATACAAAATAGAAAAATACGAAAAATTACATAGGTACCCAGCTTTTTACTAACGCAAAATTCCAAGCGATAAAACACGTGTACCGCAATGGTAACGCGCCGAAACGGCCAACGGACTTACGCGTCTACACCTCTCACAGCTAATACGAATGAAAAACGTTATAGGTATTCAAAGTAAATTTTGCGGTGTACGAAAAAACACGAAACGCGCGGAAAACGAATGACGAAAAACGAAAAACGTGTGTAGGTGGTGAAAATATGTTCATTCGCGATACGCGCTGCCATGAATACACCTGTAGTTTATCTTAATATATAATATTATTGTAGGAGATATAAAAGTCGTACTCACCGGTATGTGAAAAGCGCCCAATGAAAAACAACACAACTCCAAGAAAAGCACCGAATATTATATAATACAACGTATTACTGTATTAGGCTTTTCCGCGTTGATGTGCGTTGTAAGAGCGCTGGTCGCGAGTTGAGGCAGGGCGCAGGTTGTGCGTTTCGCGTCGCCAAAGCTGTCCCCCCGCGGCTCCACTCCACCGCAGTGCGTGTGTAAGCCGACCCCGCGTACTGTATCCCTACCATAGTCTTGGAACCGTTATCATAATGTTGGTAACCACGGGTCTAAGAGACGTCTAACATCATGTTGGTGCGATTTCATGTTTTTTCGATCCTACCGCGTCGAACCTTCCGACGCATGACGTATTTATAATAACGGTCGTACGTAGACAATCACTCCTAAGCCCTAAATCGTAATAATTGACAATTTTTAATATTACACACGCATGCATAAACACATACCTACACAATAACACAATACCTATATACCTATAATGTGACATGTGTGCACACATGACATGAATCATAACGCAGTGCCTACACATCAATATGAAAATGTAATATAAATATAATAAGACATTAAACAAACATTAATATATTAAAAATCGCGTAAAATATATATCTATTACGGGAATAACGGGCGAAATCCTAACGAAGAGTAAAACTCGAATTTTGACCTGAAATCGTTGAAATCGTGACGACGCAGCGCTCTCCGCGATCGACTCGTCCGCCGCGACACTCGTCCGGGAGAAAGCGCGGCCTATAAAATTAGAGGGGAACGCGAATAAGTCGTCTACGGGGAGGGCAGAAGTGTCGAAAAGGGCTAGGACTGGAATTTTAGAAAAAAACGGCAATAAACGACTCGACAAATGTATTTATGCCTGTAAATAGCGTACCTACTCTCGTTTCCGCGACGCCACTCCTCTCCGGGACTCGTATGTGAAAAAGTAGGGCCGCGCGCCGGCTGTAAATTTAGCGTGGAACGCGAATAAGATCCAAACGTTGAGGGCGATCCGACCGAAACGGGCTAAAACTCGAATTTTTGAAAAAAGCGGCAAAAAAAAGGAAATCGAACTCTTCGACGCATATATTCACGCCCGTGTATGGAAATAAATAGTATCAAGGGCTGCTTTGACGGGGAACTCGAATAAGTCTTCGATGGGGAGGTCCGAAGTCCGCAGAGGCGGTAAAACTCGAATTTTGAAAAAAATCGGAACATTTTCGTTAAATACGATAAGACGGAAGTGATAGCGAAACGACGAAAAAAAAAAGTGAAAAAAAATTCCCATTTAACAGAGGCACCGCAAATTATCGAATATCCCGGCGGCCGGGTTCGAACCCACGACCCTCGATTCACCTATCCTAACGCCTAATCAACCTAGCCACCTACTCAGCTGAAATTCCGAGTCAATTCTATGACTCTTAAGCCGCGTCGCCGTGCTCGCGAAAGGCGATCGCCGTTTGGACGGCCGTCAAAGGGCGTTTGAAGCTGAGCGTCCACTAGGTCGGTCGGTTGGCGCGGCGCGGCGCGGAGCGGAGCGGCACCAAAACAAAATGCTTATAAATAAATACAGATCCGTCTACTAGGAAGTCGGAGCGGCGCGGCGCAGCGCTGCGCCGCGCTCCCATCGTTCGGTGACTTTTCAAAGTCGGCACCGCGTCGCCACGCGTCGGCTACCGACCAAGTGGACGACAGAGCGGTCGGATTTTTCCAAGTTCGTTGATTGTCGGGTATTATCGGAGTCATATCGTAACTCGTGTTTACGCTTATCACTTGGTTGTTCGTTATCATGTGGTTTGATTAAACTTACTAATTTAATATAATATTCTATAGTTATGTACTAATTATACTATTATTATTATTATTTATACTTATTAATATATTTAATATTAATTTATTACAAGTTTTGAGCTGGAAATTCGTTTTGCCAAGCCGTCAAGGTAAGTTGAAAATTAACTGAATCAAGCATACTTAACATACAAATACTCAACATAATTGTTAATCTGTTCAACTCAAATAGATTATATAATAAAATCTGTAAATAACAACTAAAAAATTATTATTAAAAACTTTAATGAGGTACAGTAATTACTTATTATTAGCATTAAGAAAAAAAATATTTATTATTTAGTATACAACTTAAGAGCAAACATATAAAAGACATATTAAAAGACATACCTATTATAAGGATTATAAGTTACCTACCTATTGTAACTTTGGGTACCTATTATAAAAATAGGGTAGGTAGGTATATCTTTGTTAGTTAGTTTATACTTCTTGAAGTAGAGCTATATACCAGGCTTTATTTTTAAATGTAGGTACCTATATAGTAAAGAAATAACCAAATATGTATACTAAACTAACAAATTATTAACCAAGTTGGTTGGATTAGTCATTAATAGCAGATACGTTTTATAGGTTAATAAACCTACTTTATGGGGCAAAGTATAAACTAAAATATTCTAAAAACCATATTAATATTATAGTCAATACCTATAAAATCCATTTAGTACATTATATTAACTAAAAAATGTTTAAAATATTTTCATAATACTTATAATTTGCCATGTATTAATAAAATTATCTTGGTAGTTTCACTTATGTTAACTACCTTTTTCTATTAAAATTTGAATAACATTTGTGCCCTCCCCTTGTAGGTAATGAAACAATTAAGAGGATGATTCATCCGCATGTGTAGATGTGTAGTTTCCATCTTATTAACACATAACATGCAAATTTGGTGTTGTTTAATTTTATAGTGAAGTAACAAATGTAAAGATAACAATAATATCCACAGCACCAAATGAGCATTTAAAAATTGTAATTTGTTAGCTTCAAAATTAAAAACTCAACAAAAATGCTAACATGCTGCCCTACATAATATTCTTACATTTATGTTAAGTTGGGTTCTACTGTAACTATATTAAATTAATATATATATATTTATATTCAGTAATGTATGTTTTAAAACTTTAAAATTTAATACTAAACAGCTAATTTATATTAAAATAAAAGTTAAAAACAATTTAATTTACTGAACCTCATAGTTTATCAATTAAAATTTACAATTTTTTTTTTTTTTCATTGACAGACAACAAAATATAATTATTTTTTCTTGTAATTCAGATACCTATTACAGATATGGCAATGTCTGAAGAACAGCTAATTGTACTTGTACAACAGTACAAGCATCTGTACGACATTTCAGATTCAAATTATCATAACAATCTTATTAAAGATAATAGTTGGGAGGAAATTGGCAAAATGTTGTCAACCACAGGTAATGAAAAACATATTTTTATTAATTATTATTCATTGTATGATACTAATATAATTAAAATAATAAAATATAATTATAATTATTAAGGAAAAGAGTTAGTTTGTAGATATATTCAATTGTATCGCCTTCCCTCACGAACAACTCGATTTTGCCATTCTACTGACCCATTTGGAGACAAAAAATAGTCCCTGAACTTCTCCCTAGTGGCGTAACTAATTCCAGCAAATGCACCTCCAACATTTCTTAAGTTTTGTAGAGCGCCATGTTCAGAAACTGTAGTATTCTTTTCATCCTCTATTACTTCTGCCAATAACCTAGGACTATCCGACTTCAAAAAGTTATGTAGACAACATGTGGCCCTGACAATTTTATTTACATATATGGGTTTCATTTCAAGTCTTCTTTGATATACACGAAATCGTTTACTGAGAATACCAAAAGCATCTTCACTAGTGTTTCTTGCTCGGCTCAGCCTATAATTGAATATTTTGTTACCCTCATTGTTTAAAAGTGCATTACCAGGATAAGGTCTCATTAGGTTTTTATGAAGAGGAAATGCCTCATCCCCTACAATGACATGAGGCATAGGTTCTTCAGTACCTGGTAATGACTTATCATTAGGAAAATCTAATTTTTCTTCTCGAAGTCTTTCGCCGAAGTTAGAATTGGCAAAAATACTCCCATCGCTGTTTTTACCATATCCTCCAACATCAACCATAATAAACTTGCATTCAGCGTCAACAACTGCCATGAGCACCAAGCTACACATTTTTTTATAGTTGAAGTATAAGGAGCCACTATGATATGGTTTATTTATGACCACATATTTACCGTCAATAGAACCAACACAATTTGGAAAGTTCCATCTAGTTCTAAACCCTTCTTCAATTTTCTGCCATTGTTCTTGGTTGGGTGGACTCATGTAAATTGGTGAAAGGTTCTTCCAAATTGCTTCACAAGTTTCGTATATTATTCTTCGTACAGATTTTTCTCCTACTCTATAACTGAATGCAATTGTGATAAATGTATCTCCAGTAGCCAAAAATCTAAAAACCATGAGTAATATTAGTATAAAAATAATAACTATTGTATGTAATTCAAAAATAATAATGGTTCTTAAGAAATATGTTTTCTGATTGTTTTGGAAACTCTTCAATTATAAATTATCACAGTGTACCCATTGGCTACTATTATTATTGTTAATTTTTTAGGTGAAGCATGTAAAAATAAATGGAAATCACTCAGAGAAAGCTATCGAAAAGCAATGAACGCCAGGAAAACCAAAAGTGGACAGTCAGGAAAAAAAATAAGACCCTGGCGCCTTGAAAGTCAGATGGAGTTTGTGAAATCATACCTATTTTCACAAAGTGAAGAAGCAATGAGTAATTTCTCTGCACTAAGTCCATCATCTCCAACAACTGACTCTAACGATTTAAGTTCTATAACTAATGAATTACTCGAAACAGAAGAAAATGAAGAAGAACTGAAGAATCATCAATCAGACAAACTTGAAGATAGTGTAAATAACCAAAACAACAAACAGTTGTTTTCAATTGGCAAAAAAAGTGAAATTGGAACAGACAAACCTGGAACAGCAGCAAAATTGCTACATCAGTATATGCAAATGAAAATGTCAGCATCTTCTAATCCACGACCTCTGGAGACCAACTCACCAAATACTTCAAAAGTATAGAAGCGACTGTCCGCACTCTTCCAGTAAATATTCAAATCAAATTAAAATCACAAATTTCACAAATGGTTTATAATGCTGAAATGGAAGCTGTATCAATGCCAACAAATCATCTACCATTTCTATCCGTTCAGCAGCCCAACACTGTTCAACAGCATCCTTATCCTATTCAACAGCATCCATATCCTGTTGAACAACTGCCTAACCCTATTCAACAACAGACTAACCCTGTTCAACAACAGTCTAACCCTGTTCAACAACAGTCTAACCTTGTTCAACAATCATATGTAGCTTTTCAGCCACAGTATACTGATCTTTCTTAACCAAATACCAAATATCTGGAAAACTCATTATCCTGGTTTTTTCCTATTATTAAATATGCTCTTAATATTATTTATAAGATACATTTACTTTAACTCAACAATAACTAAAATAGTAAAATAGTTACCTACTATTATTAATTGAAATTAATGAGACTGTTTATCATTATAAGAGTTACAATATTAATAAGTTTTCTTTTTTTATATTCATTTAATTTTATTCTAACCTTTGATAATTTAATGAGTGTTAGTTTGTTGTTAATTATATCAAAGGCTGTATGAATTTTATCGGGTATGTTATTTTTATTTATTGTTAATAGCAATAAATATATTACCTATTATTCAAATGTTTCATATTTTTTATATTTCAAATTACTCTTTAGGTATGGTATATTGTAATGCTTTAGCTTTTGTTAATTTATTATACTAAAAATAAAATAAAATATATAATGAACATTTTTTTATACTTACCTTAAACATATGGAAAGTCTTTCCTCAGGAGGTATTGCCCTTCGAAATGTGGTGTCCATCTTTTCAATATCATTCTTGACGAGTTCAAGAAGTTCATAAAATTTTTCCGGTGACATTCTAAAATATTTAAAAAATTTTTTTTGGTCTCTCAAAAGATCTGGAAATAGATGGTGATGTTCGCCAAATATATGTCTTTTGGTATTTATTTCATGCACCCACATTTTGTGTTTTCGCTTATATTCTTGTTCTTGTTCTTCTGCTTCAACAATTGTAGCCAAAAACAACATTTCTTCATCAGAATCAAAATCACTCATACTACCAATGTTGATTTTATAAATTATAAAAAATAAAAAGGGATATGAATCGAAGATTGTGCACGAAATAAGCTTTGATATTTAGAAAATACGTTTACCTGATGAAAGTGATAAAAGTTGATAAAAGTTGATAAAACTGATTATACATGCACATAGATCGCACCGCACCGCGTCGCGCCGCAATTAATGGACGAACGTCCCTCCGAAAGTCCGCTTCGCTCCGCGCCGCGCCGCGCCAACCGACCGACCTAGTGGACGCTCAGCTTAATACGCGAGCTTCGCGAAAAAAATCGAACCTCGAGACGCACGTATTTATGCCCGTATATAGCGGTACCCACTCGATACCCCATCGGTACCTACTCTCGTTTAAGCGACGTCGCTCCTCGCCGGGACTCGTTTTTGAAAAAGTAGGTACGCGCGCCGGCTATAAATTTAGCGTGGAACTCGAATACGTCGCCGGCGGGGAGGTCGGACGTCTCGTAGAGTTGCTAAACGCGACTCTAGTCGAAAAAGTCGAGAAAACCGTCGAAACGGCGACGACGCGGCGCTCTCGGCGATCGAATCGTCCGCCGGGGGACTCGTTTTTGAAAAAGTAGGGCCACGTTTCGACGTTAAATTTAGCGGGGAACGCGGATAAGATCCACACGGGGAGGTCGATGCGCCCTAAAACGCCTAAAACTCGAATTTAAAAAAAAAATGCAAAAAACGCGCGCGACGGCGGCGCTCGTATCGCACGCGACATCCGCCGCCGCGGGCCCACCGGGAAAAAAGTAGGGCCGCGCGCCGACTATAAATTTACCGAGGAACGCGAATAAGGTCCGAACGGGGCCGCCCGAGGCCCCCCGGGGGGGTAAAACTCGATTTTTTCCGAAATTTCTTTGATTTTTGAAAAAAACGGCAAAAAGTGATAAGAGGAGTGATAACGCAGCGACGGCTCCGGGAGACCGCCCGCGGTTAGAAATGTAATTTTCTCATTGGCGGGTTCACTAAGCAGTTCGGATTTAATCCATAAGCTGCGCCACACGGGTTTTCGTTTTATATAGTAGGACTAGATTCCGGTGTTTGTCATCCCGCCTACGGCGGAAAGACTGTGTGGGCGGTGGTGCATCTTTGTCTGCGATGCTGGGTTTTTTGATCCAGCCTGCGGCGGGAAGGGGGGGGGTCGTCGGGTATTGTGTTTTGTCGTGTTGGCAGCACTGGTCAAGCGGTAATTTTTGAACTCGGAAGAGTGTCTAGTCGTATGTGTGTTGAAATCGGAAATTCGGATTCTGAGTTGGAGTGTCTAGCTATCAGTCATCTCGGGTGAAAGTCGATTCCCGAACGGACAATCCACCTGCGGCGGATCGTATGCAGTGGGGGTGTATGTCGCTCGTATGCAAGTAGCTAGTCAGGTAGGCAATCCGACTACGTCGGATCCCAGACCATGCACCGGGTGTGTATGTACGGTTCTCGTATGTGTGTTGAAATCGGAAATTCAGGTTCTGAGTTTGGGTGTCTAGCTATCAGTCATCTCGGGTGAAAGTCGATTCCCGAGTGTCAGATGCAGTGGGGGTGTAAATCGCTCGTATGCAAGTAGCTAGTCAGGTTTGCAATCCGACTACGTCGGATCGCAGACCATGCACCGGGCGTGGGTGTCCGGTTCTCGTATGTGTGTTGAAATCGGAAATTCGGATTCTGACTTTAGTGTCTAGCTATCAGTCATCTCGGGTGAAGGTCGATTCCCGAACGGACAATCCACCTGCGGCGGATCGGATGCAGTGGGGGTGTAAGTCGCTCGTATGCAAGTTGCTAGTCAGGTAGGCAATCCGACTACGTCGGATCCCAGACCATGCACCGGGTGTGTATGTACGGTTCTCGTATGTGTGTTGAAATCGGAAATTCGGGTTCTGAGTTTGAGTGTCTAGCTATCGCCTATCAGTCATCTCGGGTGAAAGTCGATTCCCGAACGGACAATCCGCCTACAGCGAAAAGTGCTCGAAACGGCCGTTCAAATCTGATATACCTACCATGTATATTTATTTAATTATGAGAATTAAATCAAATTCACAAATTGATAATTATATTGGTGAATAACAAATTTTATTGAAATGTAATACTATCCTATTAAACGTAGGTATGTATATGTATAAATGAATACACTATACAATTTTTTGGCACTTATCTTCGTAAGTACCTATTATCATAATATTTTGCTGTTATATTGTAAGACTGTATATAATATATTGTGTACCTACCTACCAATTTATTTAATGTCATATGATATGATATTTATGATGTTATTCGGATTCTGAGTTTGAGTGTCTAGCTATCAGTCATCTCGGGTGAAAGACGATTCCCGAACGGACAATCCGCCTGCGGCTGATCGGATGCAGTGGGGGGTGTAAATCGCTCGTATGCAAGTAGCTAGTCAGGTAGGCAATCCGACTACGTCGGATCGCAGACCATGCACCGGGTGTGTATGTCCGGTTCTCGTATGTGTGTTGAAATCAGAAATTCGGATTCTGAGTTTGAGTGTCTAGCTATCAGTCATCTCGGGTGAAAGTCGATTCCCGAACGGACAATCCACCTGCGGCGGATCGGATGCAGTGGGGGTGTAAGTCGCTCGTATGCAAGTAGCTAGTCAGGTAGACAATCAGACTACGTCGGATCGTAGACCATGCACCGGGCGTGTATGTCCGGTTCTGGAGTGTGTGTGTTGAAATCGGAAATTCGGATTCTGAGTTTGAGTGTCTAGCAATCGTCTATCAGTCATCTCGGGTGAAAGTCGATTCCCAAACGGACAATCCGCCAACAGCGAAAATTGCTCGAAACGGCCGTTCAAATCTGATAAAGCATACGGGAGGTAACAAAATTGTATTTTTTTTATAATTATAGAGAACAGTTATCAGGTGTTTTATGTTAGGCTTCATTGTAATCAATGTAATCATTGTTATGTTTTCGCGGTTATAACAAATAACTAATAAGTCGAAAAAATCTAATTTTCTGATTGGAAATTTTCTAAAATATACCTACCATGTATATTTATTTAATTATGAGAATTAAATCAAATTAACAAATAGATAATTATATTGGTGAATAACAAAATTTATTGAAATGTAATACTATCCTATTAAACGTAGGTATGTATAAATGAATACACTATACAATTTTTTGGCACTTATCTTCGTAAGTACCTACTATCATAATATTTTGCTGTTATATTGTATGACTGTATACAATATATGATGTACCTACCTACCAATTTATTAAATGTCATTTGATATTTATGATGTTTTAAATTATTTAGTAATTATAATTGCTTAATTATAATGGTGCATCACTGTGTTATGACTTATGTATTATGTGTATGAAAGTGTGTATGAAAAAATCAAACTTTTTGTCGCATATTTTCATTTCCGTATAAAGTAATAACAACACTGTCCGCTCCCCGATCTCCTCCGCGGAACTCGACTCGAGCGAAGTACTGACGACTATGGCTTATAAATTTAGCGGGGAATGCCAATAATATCCAAACAGGCAGGGTAATATCACTAAAACGGTCCAAGAAACGAATTTTAGAAAAAAACAGCAAAAAACGACGCGAGGCATGTATTTATTGCCGTATATAGCGATACTTACACGGTACCTACTAACTTTTCCACGACGCCACTCTTTCCCGGGACTCGTCTGTGAAAAAGTAGGGCCGCGCAACGTCTATAAATTTAGAGGGGAACGCGAATAAGGTCCAAACGGGCCATACCGAGGCACCCGAGGGGGGTAAACCTCAAAAATGTTGAAAAAAAATTGTGAAAAACGGTCAAAACCGTGAAAAGTGATAAGGATAAAAGATAACGCAGCGACGGCTCCGCAAAAAACGACGCGACGCATAATATATACAATACAATACACGGTACCCGCTCTCGTTTAAGCGACGCCGCTCCTCGCCGGGACTCGTTTTTGAAAAAGTAGGGCCGCGCGCCGGCTATAAATTTAGCGGGGAACTCGAATAAGTCGTCGACGGGGCGGGTGATACGACCGAAAGGGGCTGAAACTCGAATTTTCGAAAAAAAAACGGCAAATGGAGCGGTCATATAGTAGTACTATTTTTTAATATAGTTTATTAATATTGTATTAAACAGTATTTATAGTCTGTAGCAGTATTTAATATATCAAGTAGGTACTACATTATAATTATATTGTAGGTTGGTCACGGTAAAATCAAGTATTAATTAAATGTTAATTATTATTTTTTTGCAAAATAAATATAGTCAAACGAATAATAATATATATAAATACCGATATATATAATATAATAACGTGAATTTTGAAAAAAATCGGAACACTCGTTAAAAATGATTAATGTGACCAAAAAAAAAAAAAAACGCAAAAAAAAGAAATCCGAAATATCACGGGCGCCGCAAATTATCGAAAATCCCGGCGGCCGGGTTCGAACCCACGACCCTCGAGTCACCTATCCTAACGCCTAAACAACCTAGCCACCTACTCAGATGAAATTCAGAGTCAATTCTATGACTCTTAAGCCGCGTCGCCGTGCTCGCGAAAGGCGAACGCCGTTTGGACGGCCGTCAAAGGGCGTTTGAGCGGGCGATCCGACAGCGTCGGCGAGCGGACGACCGGCTACGCCGCCCTCGGACGTATAATACCCGAGCTTTGCGAAAAAAATCGAACCTCGAGACGCACGTATTTATGCCCGTATATAGCGGTATACCTACTCGATACCCCATCGGTACCTACTCTCGTTTAAGCGACGTCGCTCCTCCCCGGGACTCGTTTTTGAAAAAGTAGGTACCCTCGCCGGCTATAAATTTAGCGGGGAACTCGAATACGTCGCCGGCGGGGAGGTCGGACGTCTCGTAGAGTTGCTACACGCGACTCTAGTCGAAAAAGTCGAGAAAACCGTCGAAACGGCGACGACGCGGCGCCCTCGGCGATCGATACGTCCGCCGGGGCACTCGTTTTTGAAAAAGTAGGGCCACGTTTCGACGTTAAATTTAGCGGGG